AGTGAGGGTGCAGCAGACAAAAACAAAATCTATTTTTTGCCTATGCTTTTGACACATGTAAATGAGTTATAGACACACATCTTTAGAGAATTATTGCAAGTCATCATTATCATAAACCTTTAAATAGTAGCCAAAAAACCACAGCACTGATAATTAGGTCAAAGAAAGAAATTACTATAAGAAAGAAATCAAACTTCTTCCAAAACCTGACTAACATTCTTTTTCTCTACAATGAAAAACTGCAGTAAAACAAATAAAGGTTGCAAACTGTACATGTTTCGGGTATCTGATTCAATATTAAGACATCTAGAATGTCACACAAATTGTTTAGCACTTTATCAAGTCCGAAGACTCCAATGTGCTTCACACCACATTCAGTTATTCACCAATTCTTTCACACGCTGATGGCGATGAGCTACATTGTAGCCACAGCTGTAGGCAGACTGACTACAGCAGTTTCGGACCAGCAACCCACCAGTTCCAGGACAAATCCCTACTTCCTGCTCTGCTGCTGAATGAGCTCCATCCTCCGTCACTGATAACGCGGTATTGTTGCAAAGTATTTTTATTTCTGACAAAATCAAGCTAGCGTGCTCTCACAGATTCGACATGTGAAGTTAAGCAGGTTTCAACTTCAAAAGCCTTTGAAAAACATCACTGACTCCTACCTTAGGACACAAGAGTGCAAAGTATCATTTTAAAATGTGACCAGTGTATTTGTCCTCTCTTTTTGTTAATCAGTGGATGAAAGCTGTTCAGTTCAGAGACAAAATTTCACAAAAAAAAAAAAAAAGACCTTGGGATATGATAGATCACAAAGAAAACAACTTCATAGCAGCTAAGGGGATTTCAGAGGCGCATTTAGGGTTTAATCATTGTGCCTCACACACCTGTTTTCAGAGCAATCTCACAAAACTGCAAAATATATAGTGGAATGATTGGATTAACACATTTCTAAGCTGCCGATGAAAGGATGAGTCATCCTTGGACATCTCTCTCTCTTCCTATCACTTTCAAAACACGTCCACGCACACGCACACACACACACACACACACACACACACACACACATCATTGTACTTCTATACAGACTTCCACTCATTTTAGTGTCTGCATTTATGACTAACCACCCAAATATTTTCCTCAGCCCTAACCATTACCAGTCTATTTCTAACCCCATCAAAGCTTAATTCATAGCTTACCTCTAAATCTAACTAGTGGAGCACAGCAGAACTGCAAGATAAAGTGAGGACTGGGAAAAAGTCCTCACTTTACACAAATGACCTCCTGTTGTTGGTAAATGTTGTGAAAGTGGTCCCCTACACGTGGTATATACAAGTACACACACTCACATGCACACCTACTCCAAATAACACAAATAACACACAATCAGACACACACACTTCCCCAAAAACCTGTTTAAAAAAATCTCCTCCGATGTGCCCCTCCTTCACTCTGGAATCTCTGAAAGAATATTTAAGGCCAATCTGCCTGCATCCCCACACATGCTGCTTTGAAAAGATTCAGTCTTACACCGCACACCCGTCAGCCTGATGGGAGCACTGACACATAAATTGGCACTAATAGACTCTTTTAAAACAATGACCTTACTGTGGCTGACACTAAGTGCATGACAAAAGCCTAAATAAAGTGGCACACAGTACAGACAATGGCAGCAAGACATGGTTAGAGTTAATTTAATTTACCTAAAGTCTTATAATCCAGCCCCCATTCCCACCAATAAAGTGAGTCTTATAAATACTCACTTTATTGGAGGTGGATTAACAATATTTCGTCTGACATCTCAAGTTTATCTTAAAAAATGTTTCCTAAGGAAAAGGTATTTTGATGAAAAATTAAGTAAAGACCACATTTCTTTTTTGTATTGTTTTTTACAAATACAAAATGCCGGGAGCGTCCGCCGTTAGTCGCAGCTCTCTTCCTCGCAGTACCTGGTTTAACTTTCTCTGTTTGCCTGCTGCGACTCAAAATGTTTTTGTTTTATTTTCAAATTTGACAGTGTTTCTGAAGTTAGGTAGGACTTTGTCACCAGCACAGAATGTTCAGCAAACATTAATACCATCATCTTTAGCTGATACAAACTCAAAACAGTGATGGCATGTCCAGCTAAAAGCATGATCTCTTTCCTCCCTCTGTTGTTGTGTGTGGTACTAAATGCTTTGTACAAATTTTACAGAATGGAGGTGTGATGCAGTGTAAACGTGGTGTGCAAATCGGGGGTTGGCCCTAATCTGCACTGCTTGCGTCTGCAGTTCACCACAGAACGGACTACACAGTAACAACCTGTTATGGTCAATGAGAGCGTTTAGTATCTCTGCGCCGACATCCAGCAAAATTATCCCCAATAGATGTGAGTTATGCTGATGATGTGATTTGTGACGCCACTTAACACGACGCAAGAAGACTGAAAAAATATCAGTTTACAAAGAAAGATGACAAAAATAGAAATGTACAGTGACTTGTTTAAGTAACTTTAATTTGATTACTGGTTTGGAAATAGTAACAGTAGTCATATTAGAGCAACGCGTTGCCAGCATCGCTGATCTTCAGTGTCTGAGCTCGATTCTTGAACTTTTAGTTTTATGGAAACATGAACGCTCAAGTTAATATATTCTTTCCAGTTTTCCAGAGCCGAGTGTGACGACACACAGAAAACAAGTCCGACTTAGTAGGAATGAGTGAAGTAAACGGCTGTTTGAGGACTTACTGTCTTGATGTGATTAGAAATATAATCTCTTTTGTACGGCACCCTCTTATTCTGCACTACGGCTTTAAAAACTTTAATCTTGTCAGTCGGTGACAAGATGGGTATTCTGCTGGGTAAAAACAGATCCAGTCTTGAAAAGTCAGAATAGATTGTAAAATGTTGAGCAAAAACTGTTTTCTAAGCATGTTGTTGTTTTTTTAAACCTTTGGGCAACGACAGCTCAGGAGGTAGGTGTTCATTTGGTTAGTAAAAAAAAAAAAATACAGAGGGAGGGAATGAGTTCCCAAGGATTAGTGGGAGACCATGTTGACCCTATTTTAAAGACACCCAAACAGACAGAAAACTGCTGAAAGTGATGTCATGTGATGGTAGATGTTAATGCTCATTTGTTGCAACTTATCCACATTTGAGATGGAGAGATATTAAGAAGTCATGTCTTTTACTCTGTATTTCTCTCTTATAAGCTGAATATCTCTCTAATACATCCTGTAAAGGAGTGGAGTATTTAGACCACAGCCATTTTCAACTGGACATTTTCCCATGTGGAAAACCTGAGCGGCAAATTACACATTGTTGGTGTTCAGAAACAGAGTTTTACTGCATCCTAAGCTGTCACAATGTCCCCACTGGGAAGGCACAGATTCTTAGTGTGTCCTAACAATGAACCAAGACTTGGTGCAATTCTCCAAGTAAACACATTCAGTAACTCAATATATAAGAATGAATACTTAGTTACTAATGAAAATGATAATTATAATCATAGTGATAGTAAAAGCCTTACCAGATATATTATATATTGCTTCCATAAATGTTTAGATTAAGACTCGGTCGACTTTTCTGATCCCAACTTGGTTTTACTACATTGCTGGATTTAAAAGCTGACCAATCTTAGTGAATTTTAGTCATAATTTGACAAACATTAAATATTTTGAATACGGTTGAAGACGTTAAAATGTTGAATAAAAAAAAGTGTGATGACATTTAAAAGTAAAGACTTATTTTAATATTGATATTTTAGTGAACAACTTGACTGTCATGTAATATGTAGATATAACATCACTACGGAAGATTATATATATGTTGTTCTGGCAATTAGTTTCCATTAAATTAGATTCAATTTAATTCAACTTTGTACAGAGCGATGAAACCAAAAATGCTTTTAGCAGTCATTTAACAGGCTTATAAAAGCCCACATGACTTGACTTAAATGCTAATCTCATATTGTTCCTGCCATGTTGAACCAGACAAAAGGAAAAAGGGAAGAAAAAGAAAAACATCTGAAAAAAGAATGGATTGTAAAAAAGCACAACAGGGCCGCAGAGAGCAGTTGCTGACACCTTCACACGCCTCTTTGGTGCTGAGGGAAGAACTGATCTGGAATGACAACAAAGAAACTAAAGCGAACACAAATTTCAGCAGCAGTCTCCTAGGTGAGGGGGAAAAAAGGCTACATGGCAAGACAGCGGTCAAGTGTCAGACACCTCTCCATCAACAACAGTCACACAAACAGGGACTGAGACAAAATGAGAGAGGCACAAACCTAAGGCCTAAATTCAACACAGCGGCACACATGGAAAGAGGCAGGCCGATGAACATACAGTTTGAGAAGAGCTGCAGGGAAGCTCAGCCTTCACAGGAACTAGTTTCAACGTTAGCACACACTAACTAAAGCTGAATTATGTTTTGTGCACGGTTCTCTACATAAAGCTGCTGAGGTAAGGTTCACATGTTCCAACATGAACATTTTGATGAAACATTATTTCTTGCAGTCAATACACCGAAGTACTGCGTGATTTCAGATGTTTGGCTGTCATGGCCAGTAGTTACAGTTTCCGTTTTTTTTTAAACTCCCCCTGAAGGCAGCTGCCACAGACCCACTGTTTGATACATGTCACCCATTTATTAAGGTGAACAACTTTACATATTCAGTCGACTTAAAAGGACATTTAGAGCTGCTGGCCCTTTTCAGTAGGAATGTTGTAAAGTTTTACAACCCAGTTTTACCCAGTTGCTAACATTTGACCTGTAATGAGCCACTTCTACACTATGTTTCTTGCTGAAAATTGCCTGCACTGTAACTTTCATTTAAGAAATGGTCAAGTTTGAGTGAAAGTAAAGAGAAAAATTCAACCAAAATGTGCTTGTTTTAATATAAGAGCTTATAAAAAAAGCTTCACAAAAGTATTTCGATATTTCTATCATTCATAACTCGGTTGCTGAGTAAAGTGTGGGTGTGGATTTGTACAGAAAGCAGGCGTTGCTGCTTACGTACGTCAAAAAGTCTCTCGACGTAAATCTCCTCGTTGACCTTCTCGCGCAGCATGTCCTGGGAATGACGAACAAAGGTGACATAGCAGTCTGCGACATCCATCCCTGGCTTCTGCAAGACAGCAAATAAAGACAAACACAGATGGAGATGAAGATGCACTTAAAGCTCGATGTTCTTTTCCTTTTTTAAAATAAACACACATCCGATATTTGATTAACACTCCTTTTTTTTGGATCTAATTAATTTATCCTTAGGGAAATGGATATGTACCTCATACTTTCAAAGGTGGTTTAATTAAAATGCTATTAAAAAAAACAGATAAAACAGAAATCCTAGCCAATTAGTTGAGTGAACATTTTTAACAAAATAATCTGGAGGTTTTAATGCATGCTATCATCATTACACCGAAAAAGCTGTGAAAATTTCCTGACGATATCATTGCAGCAAAAATAGACTTGTTTCTATGCTGGTCCCGCTCGGTCTCAGTGTTGCAGTAAAACAAAATTACTCTACAGAGGCTGAGAAGACAGAATGACAACAGGTTGGCATGAAGCTGATTTTTCAGGGAACTCATTTGAGTACAAATCTTTTTAATTAACCAGGTACAGTGGGGAAAATAAGTATTTAGTCAGTCACCAATTGTGCAAGTTCTCCCACTTAAAAAGATGAGAGAGGCCTG